CTATTTGAGTTGGAGTCTCACTCTGTCGCCCAGACTGGAGTGCAGTGGCCGCTCCTGGCCACCGCAGCCTTGACCTGCTGGGCTCCGGCGATCCTTCTGCCTCAGCCTTCCAAGAAGCTGGAACTACAGGCGCACGCTACCACGCCTGGCTAATTTTTGATTTATTGTAGAGATGAGGTATCGTCAAGTTGCCCAGGTGGGTCTCGAACCCACGGGCTCAGGCAATCCGCTCACCTCGGCCTCCCAAAGCGCTGGGATTACAGGCTGAGCCACTGAGCCCGGCCCTAACTCAGTTTTTATTATGATGTTGCCCCATTGGTTGAAAGAATAGCCGTGTCAGAAGGATTATAAATTGTGAACATTGAGCAACTTGTTTAAACAGAAAGTCATTCCACACTATGATAGTAGAATTATCATATAAGTGGGTTATAGTAGATACATGAGAAAATTGGACTTTAAAGACTCAATCTCATTTGAGAACATAAAAGTCCATTTCGAAGACTGTCTGTGTGTCTGTGGTGGCTTATTGAGCCAAAGAAAATCAACATATGAAGATTTCATTTGCTTATTTAGGCCAGCCTATGTTGGTGACAAAAAACATCTTGACTTTACCACTTTTACTGGTTTCTTTTTTCTTTCTGCTATTGGATTTTTGTTTATATATGTGTATATATGTTTTTATTTTTAGATGTGGGGTACAATTCAGGATTAGGTATACAAGTGGACATCGTACAGGTAAAGTTTGGGCCTCCCTTTGGTCCCCACTTTGCCCGATTTGAGATCAAGTACCATTATTGATGTTGTATCTCCCCCTGCCCAACCCTCTATGGCTTTTAGTTGTTTCTTAAGCTGCTATTTATAGACTAAAGATTCTCTGTTAAGGTGAATAAGTATGGCATTCGTTATTCTTTTCAATTTTAGTTTTCACGTAAAGATGTCTCTTTTAAGTATGTCACTTGTAAACTCTTCCTTCCTGACACACGTAGCTTGTAAACCTACTTTCCTGATAGTTCTTATCTCATTCTTTTACAGGTACCTCCTATTTAACTGACATTGTGTGGTGGGCCGGCACAATTGCAAGTAAGCAGCCTGCATGCTATCTTTCATTCTTAAGATCAGTCATTTGTTTGGGCAGGACTGGAGGGGCTGGGATGAGTTTGGCTACATTCTTTGGAAGAGACTGTCACTGGCCTCACTGTGTGATACCCTGCCTCGCAAGAGTCACTCTCCTTGCTCGATTTCCTCTAGTCATCCTTCCTCCTTTTGGAAGGGAGCGAATGGACCCGTGCAGAATGAGGACAAGGAAGGAGGTGGCAGAGGTTCCTGCTGCCCACGAGGAACCCTGGGTTTAGTCTAGGTCAGACTGTCCTGGGGCTGAGGAAATTAAACAGCCCCTATTTACTCACAGCAGTCAGTCAGGGCTGGCATTTGAGGAAACTCCATGTGTTAGTGCCTCGTTTTGCTCAACACTTGGTGTAACAAAGGAGTTTCTTGAAAGCCCAGATCAGAGGTCATATGCTGTTATGTAAATATGAATAACAAAATTAGCATTCAGAACTCTAAATGTGTAAAGGACTATATTAGAAACGAAAGAACTATTGGCTGGGCTTACACCTGTAATTCCAGCACTTTGGGAAGCGGAGGTGAGAAAATAGTCTGAGCCCACAGGTTCGAGACCAGCCTAGGCAACATGGCAACACCTCATCTCTACAATAAATCAAAAAATTGGCTGGGCATGGTTGCTCAAGCCTATAATCCCAGCACTTTGAGAGGCCAAGGTGACAGCATTGCCTGAGTTCAAGGGTTCGAGACCAGCCTGGACAACTTGGTGAGACCTTGTCTCTACATTAAATCAAAAAATTATCCAGGTGTGGCATGCGCACCTGTGGTTCCAGCTACTTGGAAGGCTGAGGTGGAAGGATTGCCTAAGCCTAGCAGGTCGAGGCTGTGGTAGCCATGAGCATGCCACTACACTCCAGCCTGGGCGACAGAATGAGATTCTGGCTCAAAAAAAAAAGAAAGAAAAGAAAAGAATGAAAGAAATATTGACTGGGTGTGGTGGCTTACACCTGTAATCCCACCATGTTGGAAGGTGGAGGTGAGAGGATGGCCTGAGCCCACAGGTTCAAGACCAGCCCAGGTAACATGGTGAGACCTCATCTCTATAATGAATCAAAAAATTAGCTGGGCGTGGTGGCTCAAGCCTGTAATCCTAGCACTTTGGAAGGCCAAGGCGAGAGGATTGCCTGAGCCCAGGGTTTGAGACCAGCCTTGGCAACTTGGCGAGACCTTGCCTCTACAATAAATCAAAAAAAGGAGCCGGGCATGGTGGCTTATGCCTGTATTTCCAGCTACTTGTAAGGCTGAGGTGGAAGCATCGCCTGAGCCTAGCAGGTAGAGGCTGCAGTGGCCATGAGCATGCCACTGCACTCTAGCCTGTGCAACAGAGTGAGACTCTGGCTCAAAAAAAAAAAAAGAAAAGAAAAGGAAAGAAATGTGGCTTATTTGTCACATACTATCTTTAGGCAAGACACAACCTGGCGAATGCTGATCCTATCCGCTGTCAAGCTGCTTATTGAGCTCCATCTGGTGAAGCCCCGGTCCTGTGCAGGCAGCAGTGCTTTTGCTTGGCACTGTGGTCAGCTGCCAGAACTGGAGTAGGTTGCAAGTACTTGAAGGCGCATGGGAAGTTTTGGATGACTTAAAACAAGGATGTGTTATAAGAATGGAAATACACTTAGTGCTGCGCCCCACTAGTCACTGCCAGTTAGGTTGGATATTTTCGTGGAGGGCTGAACCCAAGTGATTGAACCCATTAGGCTGCAGGGGCTGCTTTCTGCTCCCCATGACCCTTAAACATGAAGCTGCTGCCTCTGACTTGATCCCTTACAAGTAATGAACAGGAAGTAGCTCTTCCAGAATAGAGCCTTGCAAAATTCACTGTGATCAGTGCCAAGAGACCTCTGTGATTGTAGCAGTGCCTTTGTGATTCTCTTGACAGTGGCTGTTGGCCAGATCGGAAACTTCCTGGCATACACGGCTGTCCCTACGGTCCTGGTGACGCCCCTGGGTGCCCTTGGAGTGCCATTTGGGTGAGGATGAAGATTCTGTGCTTTGTATTTATTGTGTAGTTTAGATATTAAAAAATTTGGCTGGGCGTGGTGGCTCATGCCTATAATCCCAGCACTTTGGGAGGCTGAGGTGAGAGAATTACCTGAGCCCATGGGTTTGAGACCAGCCTGGGCAACTTGGTGAGACCTCATCTCTACAGTAAATAAAAAAATTAGCTGGGTGTGGTGGCACATGCCTATAGTTCCAGCTACTTGGAAGGCTGAGGGGAAGGATCACCTGAGCCCAGCAGGTTGAGGCCGCAGTGGCCATGAGCATGCCACCACACTCCAGCCTGAGTGAAAGAGTGAGACTCCAACTCAAAAAAAAAAAAAAGTCATCTTAAATGTTTCTTTTTAAAAAAACAGTATAATTGTAATTGAAGATAGGTCTTCCGTATTCCAGTCTACATTGTTTAATGTCATCCCTTCAAATATCATTACTAACCCCTTTCTTAGAAATTTACTTGAGTGTATTACAGGTTTTTACTCATTCATGGGCATCAGTGAATCTGTTGCCCTTATTCTCCTGGTCTTGGCCCCGAGACACTTCTTGGAGTAGAGAGTCTTCCTGACACCTTGGCAAGTTATTATGAGAAGTCATTAAGCAAAACAAATCAGTGGGTGTTTCATTTGGGTGCTTGGCATTACTTGTGGGACTCTGGGTACTAGACAGTTTCTCCCCTCCCAGGAGATTACAGAGGTTGGGATGAATGACACATGACTCCAGTGAGTGTAAAATGTGTCTGTGACTCACATAGTCAGCAGCACATCGACTCTCTGAGGCGGATGCTCTGGTTTGGTTCTGGTGAGAATGGGCTGAGGGTGGCTCTGGTTCTGTTGTAGTCAGTGGGCAGTTCGCACGTTTAGGCCAGGGCTTACATGTTCTGAAACTTCTACTTGTGCCAAGGGATCGAGGACTCCAGGCACCGAGGGCATGAGCCACTTTCTGACCAGGTGGTCTAGATGCCGTCAGAGGGGAGAAGGAAGGAGGGGCCTTGCAACCTGCAGCCATCAAACCTCACAAATGGAGCCACACTTTAATAACTTGGCTTACTGCAAACATTATTTTGTGAGACATTTATTAAATAGTGTAGCACATATTCTCTTGTGAACCTATGTATATTGCTTTGTCTTTACAGAATCGTTAATAAACAGATAGGATAGACATGAAATAAAATCCAAGTTTCTAACTCATGGATACATTGGCTTTCTGCTGTATTCCAGACAGACTCCCAGATCCTTAAAGAGAAGTATGTCTGTGATGGATGTATTTAAGTTTGCACCTTAGAGTCACTTAGGCTTTAGGGTTCTGTGGCCTAAAAGTCATGTATGCTTTTCACATGGGAGCCTTTGAAAATGTATTTTTATCACATTGTTCTCATCCACACATATGCTGGCTTTGCCTTTTGGATCACAAGAAGCTAGGAAGTATGTGTGTTCTTACATCAGGATCACTCCTCCAGCTTCCTCAACCTGCTCCTGGAAATATGATCAGGCAGACAAACAACCTGACCTGGGAGCTTTGCACATGGCATATTTAATGTGCCCATAGTAAAATACCTCATCTATTTAACTTCCTAAAAACTGCTCTCATGCACTCTGATAACTAGGTCATCTCACTAGAAGTGTTCCCTGATTCAAGACCATAGGAGATGTTATTCGCCATGTTAAGAACCATGTGTGTAGCCGGGCTCGGTGGCTCAGCCTGTAATCCCATGCCTTGGGAGGCTGAGGTGAATGGATTGCCTGAGCCCGCGAGTTCGACACCCGCCTGGGCAACTTGGCGAGACCTCATCTCTACAATAAATCAAAAAATTAGCTGGGCATGGTAGTGCGCGCCTGTAGTTTCAGCTACTCGGAAGGCTGAGGCGGAAGGATCGCTGGAGCTCAGCAGGCCAAGGTTGCGGTGACCGAGAGCAGCCACTGTACTCCAGTCTGGGCGACAGAGTGAGACTCCAACTCAAAAATAAAAAAATAAAGAACCATGTGTGATAGTATTCTGGATCAAAAGCCTGCTTCAATTCAGGATCCCAATAAAACTTTTGTTTTTTTGAGTTGGAGTCTCACTCTGTCACCCAGGCTGGGTACAGTGGCATGTTCCTGGGCACCTCAGCCTCGATCTGCTGGGCTCAGGCGATCCGTCTGCCTAAGCCTTCCAAGTAGCTGGAACTATAGGCACACGCTACCACACCAAGCTAATTTTTAAATTTATTGTAGAGATGAGTTCTCACCATGTTGCCCAGGCTGGTCTCCAACACCTGGACTCAGGCAATCCTCTCACGTTGGCCTCCCAAAGTGCTGGGGTTATAGGCTTGAGCCCTACCGCACCTGACGGAGTTTTCCTTTGATTTACTGAAGGTAGGCTGCCTGTGTGGCCTGCAGTAAAATGTTTGAATGCTGTCTAAAACCTGCCTATTGGAAATTTATCTATGTCTAACCTGTGCTAGATTCAAAGCGTGTCAGTGTAAGTGAAAATGGTTGTGCTGAGGCAAAATGTGAACTAAATTTATTCTAAGTTTCTCAAGGTCCCTCCTTTCATTTCTAAGACCTCATCTCTACAATAAATCAAAAAATTAGCTGGGCATGGTGACACATGCCTGTAGTTCCAGCTACTTGGAAGTCTTAGGCGGAAGGATCACCTGAGCCCAGCAGGTCGATGCTGGGGTCACCGTGCACGTGCCACTGCACTCCAGCCTGGGTTACAGTGCGACTCCCACTCAAAAAAAAAGTTAGATTGTAAATCTTTGATTGTGGTCAAGTAGAGACTACCCACCACCCCATAAAGCCCTCCTGACTTCACTAGTAAGAAGTTTAATGCCATGTAATTGGCTAGGGTGAACTGTTTGATTTCTCCTTCCTTCTGGTTTAGCAGACTTAACACTCGGATGTATATTCAGCCATGTAGTGATCTCAACATATTAAGGCCAGGGTGTGGAGTAAAGGAGTCAAAAATTAATCTCTTGTTGGTAAGCCCAAATGTTTGGCGTAGAGTTGCCTAACCACGATGAGCAGGAGGCCAGTGAAACTCATGCTGGACAGGGATGTTTACCCTTTAAAAATTTTTTTTAATTTATCTTTTATTTTCTTTGAGTTGGAGTCTCACTCTGTCACCCAGGCTGGAGGGTGGTGGCATGCTCCTGGCCCCCGTAGCCTCAACCTGCTGGGCTCAGGTGATCCTTCTGCCTCAGCCTTCCAAGTAGCTGGAACTACAGGCACATGTCGCCACGCCCAGCTAGTTTTTTGGATTTACTGTAGAGTTGAGGTCTCACCAAGTTGCCCAGGCTGGTCTTGAACCTGTGGGCCCAGGCAATCCTCTCACCTCAGCCTCTCAAAGTGCTGGGGTTATGGGCGTGAGCCACCATGCCCAGCTGGATATTCGCCCTTAGCCTCAGTTTGATTACTCCATGGTCCATTGGGAGGGCGAAATATTCCCAACTCCTCAGTCTATCCATGTCACCTTGTGTTACAAAGAATCTAGAGATAGAGAAGATACACAAGGTTGTTAAAGACAGTGGGGAGGTAGAGGCTGTTGATCAAGCCTTCAGGTTAGATATTTTTACCTCCAACCAAGTTAGGGAGACCAGAAAAGGAGGGTGTCTTTTATATTGAATGTAAGTTACTTTATGACAATAAATTAAATGATTGACGAGACAGCCTTTACTATGCCAGTCCTGCAGGTATTTCACAAAGTTACCTTTTTGAAGATGTATCTGACCTCATCTAAGCAGTTCTGAGGTGTATGACTCAGTTGGCTGATCTGCAGCAGTGACTTTGGTGTCTGGAGAGGGTGCTGGTTTGAGTCTGAACAGGTGTGTCCAGAAAGGGAGTCCCAGGGGTTTGGCTGTAGTGGGAGTGGTTAGAATGACTTGAAAGGGTCCCGGGCTGGGCATGGTTGCTCAAGCCTATAATCCCAGCAATTTGGGAGGCCAAGGCGAGAGGACTGCCTGAGGCCGCAGGTTTGAGACCAGCCTGGGCAACATGGTGAGACCTCATCTCTACAATTAAAAAAAAAGAAAGAAAGGGTCTCTTCCATGGTGGCTGAAGATGCCTAGTCTGACCTGGTAGGTCTTTAAGAAATACCCAGTCTCCAAGTTGCAGTTGAGGTTTGGGAGTTGGGCCCTTGCAGGGGGCTGGAGGATGCTGGTCTGCATAGTCTCTCAAAAGTTTCCTGACTGCTGGGCTCGGTGGCTCAGCCTGTAATCCCGCGCCTTTGGGAGGCTGAGGTGAGTGGATTGCCCGAGCCCGCGGGTTCGAGACCCGCCTGGGCAGCGAGACCTCATC